ATTGGCAATTTGGATAACCCCTTCAGAGGATGGCGTGATAAGAATAGGAGGTAGGAATTGGCTAGGCAGTTAGAGTAAAAAGACCCCAAAGAAAAGTAGCCAGTTTCTTGGCTAAAACTCACAATGCCTTGGGCCTCTTAGCAACCTACTCCGTGTCATAAGACCGAAAATGTTGAAAATATTTGGGAGCTTTCATCTAATCCCTAAAAGATTTTAGGGTTACGTCTTCAGAGGGGGGAATGTTAGACTAGCAAAAAGCCCCATAAAAAAAATAATAAAGAGTACATGAAGTTGTCAGAAAAAAGTGATGGGGAGATATGGGAGGAGGTGGAGGGGAGGGAGTGGGCGTGAATTTCATCAAAACACTTTATATGCATGTATGAAATTCTCAATATTTTTTTTTAAGTTTAAAAAAAGTGACAGAATGTATGAATTCCAGTGGGGGGCAGGGGGAGAATGGGAACATGCAAGTAAGAATGGGAGTATAAAGATGATTAAGACTGATTGAGATGTTCTATATGAATTACACAAAAATTCAATAAAAACAAATAAAAAATAAGTTTTAAAAAAGTAAGCCAGGCGTAGTGGTGCACTTTAATCCCAGCACTTGGAAGGCAGAGGCAGGTGGATCTCTGTGAGTTCAAGGCCAGACTGGTCTAGTGAGTTCCAGGACAGCTGGGGCTACAGGGAGACCCTGTCTCAAAAAGACAAAAAAGAAAGTAAAAACTGAGAGCTTTTCAGTGAAAATCTTATTCTTTCAAAAGGGCTACCCTTATAATTAATAGAATCTTTCAGGCAGAGTACTGCTGTCCTTCTCAAGATGAACATGTTTTTCCCTTAAGGGTAAAGAACAAAGATTGTATCACCTTAACTATCCACCCATGATTTGAAGAATCAAATGCCAAGGATAGTCAGGTGTGGAAATTTATGCTTATAATTCCATCACTTGAAAAATTGAGGTAGGAGAAACACCAAGAATTTGAGGCCAGCATGGACTACACAGTGAGTTCCAGGCCTGCCTGGGCTAGAGTAAGACCCTATCACAAACAAACAAAACAAAAGGTTCTTAATTTTTTCTAACCTACACAAGGTAATGAGACAAGAGACAAAGGGTAAAAATAGATTCGAACTCAGCATGTTTAGCCTATGAGCTCAAAACAGTACACTCAAATATTTCTTAAAAGCTCAATTTCATGCTCAGGCCTAAGGGACACATCTACAATGCAACCTCTACACCTAAGGCTCATGGAACACAGAACGGGATAAAGAAAAGGACACGAAGGAATCTCTCAGGTCTCAATAATGAAGCTCCCTCATATAGCAGAGGGCTAGGAACACAAAAGGTCACAAATGGCCAAAGTGTGGAGATCAAGAGTCTGCTGAATAATGATCCTTGGACAGGACCCCTTTATTAAATTTCACCCCCCAAGGCTCAGGGTCCATCACAGAAGAGGGGGTGGAACGATTGTAAGAGCCAGGGAGAAGGTGCGTGACCACATGGAAGTTCCTGGAAAGTTGCTCAAATGATTCTGTTACAACAGGACCCATGCAAGCTCAGGCAGACAATAATCCAGCATAGAACGGGGATAATCAACAGCAGACCCCAATCTTATCTGAGGAAATATTGATGCTAGATGAAGAAGAGCTGATCTTCCTGGACAAAGGATTCCAGGTAGGCTTATTAGACTCAATGGACGGACTTGCACTGGGGAACAGCTGGAGACACTGACAACCCAGTGGGCCTTACCAGGGATGACAGAGTATATGAGCTCCAGTCGGGGATGGGGGTGGGGGCGCCCGCCAGTGGGGATGGGGGTATAAAGATGATTAAGATTGTTTGACATGTTCTATATGAAATGCTTTGTAAATTCAGTCTTCCTAAAGCAATTTATTCACTTCCTTATAAATTGCTTTATCCTATGATTTAATTGTCTGTATCCTGAATTCTGTATTATGTTTCAAATTTGCTTTGTAACTACATTAAAACCATCCCTTAAAATTTAAAAAAAGGTCAGTTTCAATTGCTTTCCTTTTCTTCTCAGATAGTCTGATGCAATAGTCCAGAACTTTAGTAGAACGGGGATAACAAGGTGAAAATTAATTATTAGGGTGCTATCAAATGCATGCCACCTCAAACACTATTTTCCTAGCAAACAATACTCATTGAAAAATAGCAAGTCTTAAGCCCGGTGGTGCATGCCTTTAATCCCAGCACTGGGGAGGGAGGCAGAGGCAGGCAGGTCTCTGTGAGTTCGAGGTCAGCCTGGTCTTCATAGTGAGTTCCAAATCAGCTAGGGCTGCAGGGAAACCCTGTCTCAAAAAAGACCACAAAAAAAAAAGAAGAAGAAGAAGAAGAAAGAAAAAGGAAAATAGCAAGTCTTAGGTCTAAACTCAAGATTAAAAATAATTTGAAACTCAACATGGTAGCACACAATTTCAGCTTTCTGGACACTCTAGGTTTATATGATGAGACTGACCTAAAATTAATTAATTAATTAATTAATTAACTAATTAATTAAAACTTTTAGATTTATGTGAAGGCTTTTTTTTTCTTTAGTTTTATTTTCATTCATCTATACAAAATCCTGGTCTTCTCAAGAACAGTCCAGTAAACACATTGACTAAGACTCCCCCTGCTGGCCTTCTAAATGCATGACATGAATTCACTAGACTTCCAAAGAGAAAAATCAGGGGGTTTTATTTCAGGAGCTCCATAACCACACACTTTACTGTAACAACTTTTCCTCAACCAAGAAGAGTGGCCATAGAATACTAAATATTAAATATTCAGGGTTTAGTTTCAACCAGAAACTAAAAAGTATGTACTTCATAAGAAAGTAAAAATATTTATACATTCTTTCAAATAATTGTGCTTCTGAGCATGTAGCTTTTATAATTTTATTTCTTCTTTGATATTTTTATTGTCACTTAGTAATTATAATCATTTATGAAGCAAAAAATGACTTCAATACATGTTTATAAACAATGATTAGACAAGGTCATTAGTATATCATCTCAAGTATTTACCATTTGTTTCTGAAGGAAACATTCAAAATCTCCGCTCTCCGCTAACAGCTTTTTAAAATATTCAATCAATTACTGTCAGCCACAGCTGTCCTACTATGCTACAGAAGGTGGAAGCATCAGTTGCAACTTGATTGCTCCAAGTCCTGTGTCCACAGTATCTTTATTTTTTTTTTTTATTTATAGGGAAATATACTCAGAACTAAGCCACAAATTAGATAAAAAGATAAAAAGATGACTGGTTTTCAGAAGACCTCACATGGTCAAGGAAAGAGCCCTAATAAGAACTTTACACACACACACACACACACACACAACCACTCAGCTTTTAAGTGTTAAAAACAAAGTATGGTCCTCTGGGAAAACTTACAGACGTGTAAGTCAATACTTTTTTACCTTTAGCACAACTGTCAGTGAGGATTGAGAGCTCCTAGAAAGCACAGCCCCAACCCAGACAGTAGTCAGATTCTGTGACCTGGCATGTTCAACAGATCACTAGGAAATCAGTGGAAGTGGGAAAATGGCTGATTGTGTTAGGCATCTGTACTAAATAATAAAGCTGCATAAAGTGGCACAAAAAAAAAAGGTAGAACCAATTTCTACCCAACCTAACTTTCCTCAGGAGCATTATTTTACTTCAAAATTACATGGAATGTTGAAGAAAACACAAATTTCAATTCAGACTGATACCACGCTCTCTATTCTGCCCATTATTCCATCTACTCATCACTGTGCTAAAAATAGGTTATATTCAAAATGGATATTTCAGCACAATACTGTTCAACAACAGTTAAAATACATGGTTTGCTCTGGTTTGCCTTATCTCTAATGCCTATTAAGTCAACTCACTAATACTGCCATATTCATAGACTTTTACTATTGACAAATGCTTATATTATTGAAAAACTGGTCTTCTGTCCCCGTAATTTTAGCTTCATATGAAGCCCAAGCACCAGTCTAGTGACTAAACCTCAATATTTCTATTCTTGGTGCATGTGTGCATGTGTGCATGTGTGCATGTGTGCATATGTGCATACATGGGTGCCATTGCACATGTATGGAAGTCAGAGAACAACTTTTTTTTATTATTTTTCTGAGTATACTGTCTGCATGTATATAAGTGTACCCATGTTAAGCAATGCCCACAGAGATCAGAAGAGGGCATCAGATCCTCTGGAACTGGAGTTGCAGGTTTGTTAGCCACCATGTAGGTGCTGGGAACCTATCCTGGGTCCTCCACAAAAGCAGCCAGTGCTCTTAACTCTAAGCCATCTCTCCAGCCCCCAGGGAACAACTTTTTGAGAGTTGATTCTCATGGTCTACCTTGTTATGGCAGGTCTTATTTCTGCTGTGCTGTATACTCTAGGCTAGCTGCTCTGTGAGCTTCTAGGCAATCCTCCTGTCTCTGCCTCCCATCTTACCATTGGAGTGCTGCGATTACAGATGTGTGCCACATGTGGCTTTTTACATAGGTTCAGGGAATTAAATTCAGGTGTCAGACTTGCACAGGAAGCATTTACCCATTGAGCCACCTCCCTGGCTCTTATTCTTTTTTAAAAAAAAATTTCTGTGAATAGGTGATCTTGTCCATGTAAATAAATATGATATATCCAAAGTAAAACATAGCTAGCTAGGTAAGAACAAAAATTCAAAGGTAAAAGCTCTTTAATTTGAAGTTGAACAAGCACTAAACTTCACTTTTAAAACTCTATTCCTAGGGGCTGGAGATAGCTCAGCGGTTAAGAACATGGCTGTTCTTGCAGAAGACCCAGGTTCAAATCCCATCACCCACATGGCAGCTAAGAACTGTCCTAACTCCAGTTCCAGGTGATCTGACAGCCTCTTCTGTCCTCCGAAGGCATTGCATGACATGGGTGCACTTACATACATGCAGGCAAGACACACAAACACATAAAAATAATAAATAAAATACTAAAAAAAAAAAAAAAACTCTACCCCTAGAAACAGGAACATACCTCTGGAAGAAAGCACTGTCTGCATCGGTTAGAAGGCCCTTCAGGTATCCACCTTTGAAATGGTTGATTCTGCTGCTGCAAGGAAGCTTCTTTGGTTTGAAGCAGAACCAGGGCTCCCCAGTGTAGAGATCCGTAAAGTTGCACAGTGGAAGACTCCCAGGAAGACATACATTGCACTCAGTTGTTTCAGAAATTATTCCTGAACGGAAGAGACTCTTGAAATAGACCCTGTCTGGTTTCTCTTCCTGTAGGTGCTGCAGAACTCTGATCCCTTCACTGGGGTGAACCAGAGAAATGGATACTCTAACTCTACCCGGCCACAGCAAAGTAAAAAATACCTTGTAAAACCCATTCTGGTAGTCTACCACCCTGCCCACAGCCCCCGCCTGCAGCTTAGGGGAGTGAATTCTGGCTTGCAAGTAGTCTCCTCCATACTTCTTGGGCTTTCCTTGAAAATCCTGTACATGAACCAGCACCTCCAGCTGACTTCCCACCCTGAAGTAGGCTGCAGAGTTCAAGATTACAAAGTAACTGGAGGCAGGGTCTGTGCTCTTCACAAAGGGGACCAGGCCCACGTCAGGCACCTGCCACTGCAAGGCAGCCAACAAGTTATCTTCTTCTATGCGTTCCCAACTGGACAGAGTCTGGTGCTCATAGCCACAGTAGGGATTCCGACTAATGCCTGTAGCCTGTGAGGAAATAAACTGTCCACTGCTGTCGATGAACGTGGCTGATATAGTTTCATGGTCCAAGTACTAAAGAAAAAGAGAACAGAATCATTGCTATAATGTATCTCTGCATACTCAGGCAAACAGTCAGTGTTTTGGTTTAAATTTGTATAAAACCACAGGGTGTGGTGATGCATACCTTTAATCCCAGCACTCAAACTCCGGAGGCAGAGGCAGGTGGATCTCTGTGAGTTTGAGGCCAGCCTGGTCTACACAGCAAGTTCCAGGCCAGCTGAGGCTATAGAGACACCCTGCCTCAATAAGACAAAAAAATAAATAAATAAATAAATAAATAATAAATAAATAAATTTGTATACAACCGAGATAACACTGTTAAAAATCCACAGCCCACAAGTTTTAGAGTGTTATTGTAGCACAGTAAGATTAATGGAAAAGTCAGAGAGGATCTCTACAATTTCACAAATCTTATCTCCAAGAGCACTACACAAGTTCTCACAGTAAATTATCAAAGAAAACTCTTGAGTATCTAGCAGAAGGAGGGGAGAAGGAACTACGTTTTAAATAACATCAATTTGTATTAATAAAGTACCATCAGTCAAATTACCTCTCCAACCCAGTCTCCTACCTAGTGGGGAGAATTTAAACACCCAACTCTAGATCTTCCTGCTCTACAATTAAGCCAGGAACATGCTGCTGGAGAGCTTAGACTAGCCTAGTAGTTCAGTCAGAACCTGCCCACTCTCACCATCTTCCCCTGCTCCTGGGTTCCTATTTACCCTGCTAGCTAGTCAGAACCCACCCACTTCTGTCACCATCTTCTGGCTCCAGGACTAGGCCAGAAACAAGCTGCAGGAGAGCTCAGACTAGGCTTGGAAAGCTCTGCTCCAGCTCCAAATGAGACCACTGAGCTAGCTAGAACTAGTCCACCTGCTGTATCTCCACACTCACAGTCCTAGCTACAATTGTTCACCTCACACACAAGACCAGCCTGGAATCATTCCACTCCCTAAAAAAAAAAAAAAAACAACAACAAAAAAAAGTCAAAAGTGAGAACCAGAAACTAACTATTCATACCTGATCAAAGAGCAACCAAGCTACAAAAACAGAACCAAACTTCAACTCAACAAAGGCAGACTAGCATTTCATATCAGACACGGGTAATATGAAAAACCAAGTTAATATGATCTCACCAAATTCCATCAGGTCTATGCAAGTATTCTACAATGAGAACTACCCAGAGGAACCCCAGAACACAGAACTTGAAAGAACAATCATAAACATGATCAAGAATTTTAAAGAACACGCACACACACACACACACACGCATGCACACACACACACACACACACAAAGCTCAAAGAACTCAAAGAAAATAGGAATAAACTCCTGACTGAACCTCATGAAAATACAAATATACAGCTGAATAAAATGACAAAGATAATTCAGGATTTGTAAAGTGAACTCACAAAAGAGATAGACATACTAAAGAAAACTCAAGCTGAAATGAAGATGGAACTGAAAAACTAAATCAGTTTGAAATGACAGGAAAAAGTCTTACAATGAGAAAGAATCAAATTGAAAACAGCTTATTAAGATTCAAAGATAAAAGTGGAGAATTGGATCACTCAAGCAAAGAATACAAAAAAAAATTTAATACAGGAATGGAATATGCAGGAGCGGTGGGACACCATAAAAAGACAAAATCTGGCAATCCTAGCAGATAGCCCGAGAGGGAGAGTTCGGACCTCCATGGGTGTAGCACCTCTGATCGCAGCAGACCACCAGAGTGCAGAGTTCTAGGCCTGAGAATGCAGGGGGCTGCCTGAGAGCCCCCGGATCCTGTCTCCATGAGGTGGTGAGCTTCCCCTAATTGCACCATACCCATCCCCCTACTTGGAATTCTGTGAGGCCCCTCCCAAGGCCTAAGGTCAGACCTTGGCTTTGGTAGGCTAAGGCTGAGATCCTAGCAGACAGCCTGAGAGGGTGGGTTCGGACTTCCACTAGTGTAGTGGGCTCTGATCTCAGCAGACTACCAGAGGCCACAGAGTGCCAAGTTCTGGCCTCCCTCTGTCCTCCCTCTGGCAAAGGGCCTGAGAATGCAGGGGACTGCCTGAGAGCCCCAGATCCTGCCTCCACGTGGTAAAGGAAGCCTGAGTGTACCAGACGGGAACCTGAATTGGGCTTCTGTGGGTACTCCTGAATAGCTGATCTGAAGCTATCAGTACCCTCCAAATTAAACCTGAAAGAACCTGTAACCTCTACCAACCAGCTTTACATAACCAATACAGAAAGGATCTAGGCACCCCAATAATACAAACAGAAGCATACTTCAACCTAATTCTCATATCAGAATCAGAAACAACAAAAGAAATTCACGTGCCAAAATCACAATGAAAGAATAATAAAATGGAAAGCCAAAACACTGTGTCCCCACCAAACTCCACCAATCCTGTAGAAGAGTTCTACAAGGGGAACACTCCAGAGACAACCCAGAACACTGAATTTAAAAGGATAATCATAAACATGATTAAGGATTTCAACAAATTTAAAGAACACACAAACAAAGCAAAGAGTTAAAGAAAATATGGATAAACTTCTCAATGAATTCACAAAAGAGATGGAAACACTGAAGAAAACTCAGGCAGAAATGAAGAAGGTAGTGAAAAACTCAATAAGCCAACTTGAAACAACAGGGGAAAGCCTCACTGCTAGAATGAATAAAATGGAAAACAGAATATCGACACTAGAGGATAAAGTTGAAGAACTGGACCACTCAGGCAAAGATTATAGAATTTTTTTTTTAAATACAGGAATGGAATATGTAAGAGATGTGGGACACCATGAAAAGATCAAAACTATGGATCACAGGAATAGAGGAAGGAGAACAGTTTCAGGTTAATGGTGTTGACCAGCTCTTAAACAGGATGGTAGAAGAGAACATCCCAAAATTAAGGAAAGACATCTCCATATAAATACAGGAATACACATAGAACACCAAATAGACAGAATCAGAAAATAAACTCCCCACAACATATCACAGTAAAACACTAAACATACGGAACAAAGAGAGAAGACTGAAAGCAGAAAAAGAAAAACAACAAGTCACATACAAAGGAAAGCCCAGCATAATTGCAACTGACTTATCAATGCAAACTATGAAAGCCAGAAGAGACTGGACCAAGGTATTTCCAGTTCTACGTGACAATAGATACCAGCCCAGAATACTTTACCCAGCAAAAATATCTATTATAGCTGATGGGAAAAGAAAAATCTTCCATGACACCAATAGCCTGAAAGAATATATGTCCACAAAACCAGCCCTTAAAGAATACTTGAAGCAATACAGAGAGCAGAAAGAGAAACAACCATACCCCAGGGGCAACAAAAGAAAATAAACAAAGGTATAATCTAGGAAACACAAAATTAGACAGAGAACACAAACAGCAATCAAAATGATGGCAATCAATACACATCTTTCAATAATAAACTTAAATGTCAATGGACTGAATTCCCCAGTCAAAAGACACAGGATAAGTGAATGGATTAAAAAACAAAATCCATCTCTTTGCTGTCTGTAAAAAATAAAAAATAAAAAAAAAAAAAACCATCTCACCTTCAAGGACAGGCACTACCTTAGGGTAAAAGGATGGAAAAGAATATTATGAGTAAATGGTACTAAGAAACAAGCAGGGATTGCAATTCTAATATCTAATAAAACAGACTTCAAAGTAAAACTAACCAGAAGAGATAAGGAAGGTCACTTCATTCTGATCAAAGGAACAGCTAACCAAGAAGATATTACAATCCTTAACATATATGCACCAAACTCTGGTGCACCCAAATTCATAAAAATAACACTACAGAACTTTAAGACACAGATTAACCCCAACTCAGTAATAGTATGGGACTTCAATTTCCCATTGTCTCCATTAGACAGGTCAACTGGACAATGAATAAACAGAGATGTCTGAATTAAATGACACCATACATCAAATGGACCTAACAGGCATCTTTCGAATATTCCACCCAAGCACTAAAGAACACACTTTCTACTCAGCACCCCATGAAACTTTTTTGAAAATTGACCACATACTGGACCACAAAACAAACCTCAATAAATACCAAAAAAATTGAAATAATCCCATGCATTCTATTGGACCACAATGCAATAAAGGTCAAAATCAACACTGGACAAAGCCCTAGACACTATACAAATGCCTGGCGATTGAACAACACACTCCTAAACAATCAGTGGGTCAAAGGAGAAATTAAGAAAGAAATAAAAGAATTCCTGGAATTCAACGAAAAGAACAATACAACACATCACAACCTCTGGGACACTTTAAAAGCAGTCCTAATATGGAAGTTTATAGCTCTAAGTGCCTACATTAAAAAATTAGAAAGAGTCCAAATAAATGACCTAACACTGCAACTCAAGATGCTGGAAAGGCAAGAACAAATGAAACCCAAACCCAGCAGAAGAGAAGAAATAACAAAAATCAGAGCGGAAATTCATGAAATAGAAACAGAAAACAATACAAAGAAAAAATGAATCTAAGAGCTGGTTCTTTGAAAAGCTAAACAAAATAGACAGACACTTAACCCAGTTAACACAAAGAAAGAAAGAGCAACTCTAAATCAACAAAATTAGAGATGAAAGGGGAAACATCACAACAGACACCCAAAAGATCCAGACCATTATAAGGGGATATTTTTAAAACCTATACACTATTAAATCTGAAAATCTAAAAGAAATGGATGGATATCTGAAATCATGGGAACCACCAAAGTTAAACCAAGAAGAGATCTACAGTTTAAACAGACCCATAACATATAAGGAAATTGAAACAGTAAGACAAAGCCTCCCAACTAAAAAAACCCCAGGCCCAGATGGATTTACAGAATTTTATGAGACATTTAAAGAAGACCTCCAACCAATCCACTTAAATTATTCAAAACAAGAGAAACAAAGGGTGAACTCCCAAATTCCTTTTCTGAAGCCAGCATCACTCTAATACCCAAACCGGGTAAAGACACAACCAAAATAGAAAACTATAGACCCATAT